GTCAAGGGGCTTTGGGTTTAGGGTTTAGGGGTGAAGGGTTAAGGGGTTTAGGGGATTAGGGGCTCAGGGGTTTAGGGTTTATAGGGTTTATATAATTATTGTTTCGGGTTTGCAGGATTCAGGATGCAGTCCAGTGTCTGAAGCTTTGCAAGCATAGAGTGAAGGACTTGCAGACGAGTAGGCTGCGGTGCATCAATCTTCGGGCACGAGTCGCGCCTTGCAACACCTTTGGGTCGTTTCGGGGTTGGCGTAGCCTCAATCTCAATGATGTCGTGAGGCTCCGAACGAAGCTCGCCGGATGCAGCGGCCGGACTCTCAAGGATAGTGGCACCTTCCTGCATTCCATGGTCCTCCTCCTGTTCTTCCCGCAACTCAGCATCCTCGCCTCCCACTTCATTTTCTACTTCAAGTGCCAACTCCATTTCATCAGCACCATCTGCCTCAACTTCATCATCTTGCTGAACCTCATCTGCCTCCTCTACATCATCTTGATGAACCTCCTCTTCATCCCCTCCTTCATCCGCCTTTGGCTCTGCTGCCTCGCCTGCCTCTTCCTCCTGAACCGCTTCATCTTCATCATCCTCTAGCAGATCGTAATCTTCATCATCTCGAATCTCTGCGCCTGTCTCATCCTTATATGCATGCACGTGGCAACCACTGCAGACAAGTGCACATGCACGCAGATCTGACATGTGTATTTGCACATGCAAGATAAGCAAAGATTGTAAGACGGGTAGCACGAAGCGGGGCATCCAACTCATGGCACCTCTCGGGTGCCCAGGCCAGCAGCAGCTCGCGGCACAGCTGCCGGAGGTTGCTGTCCTGGGAATCGTTCGAGGCAGTGGGAGCTTCTCGTTCATATATTCATGATTGCCAAGCTTCGGGGCTTCGGCTCTTGGTGGGAAGCCTGCGGATGAACTGGGAGAGCATCTTGCGTAACCCCCAGGAGTCGCAGTAGATCTGGATCTTACACACCGGCTTGTTCAGCAAGTCCCAAAACTTGCGAACCTGCCAGGACCCATTGTGTAAGCTCAAACCCAAACCGAGATTTTGCATGCAACACGAACTTTGTGCCACTGCAATACAAGCCTCCTTCTTCACAGCTGCTAGTCGTGGAGTGCGAGGTGCAGTGCATGAATTTGCCCAGATATGGAACAAAGGAAGCAGCACATCGAAGTTCAACTTCGCATTTTGCATCGTTGGGATGCCGGTCTGGGCCGGCTTGTTCCAAACCAGCAGCTTACCCTCGAAAACAAAACGCCGTCGAATGTTGTCACATTTTTCCCACTCCTCGGCTAGCCCTGTAAGGGGGGCTTTCGGAATCCTGCCAGCCATGGCGCTGTGCGACAGCTACAGCCCAAACACTAAAGAGCAGAGCCCAAAAATCTGATGTCGACGCCGCAACAATATATCACCCTTCAACCAGCAGAACAGCCAGTGGCCAGGTGCACAAGAAAACACTTCCCTCCGGCTGCGAGGCCCCTGCCGGTCCAGACCAAACAACTGGCTCGAGCGATCAACGGACCTGAATCGGCACAGGCTGTGGGCGGGGGGTCATGTAATTTAATGGGCTGCATGGGCCGAGACCTATATAACTTGTCTACAACATTCGCAAACGGGTATACATGCATGCAACACTACAGAATCTTCGGAAACGCAGATGCGAATCAAGAATGTATCCTAGCCCCGGTCATTTCGAAGCATATATACAAGCAGCATGTGCCACAGCGAAAACATCATTCTAGGGCCCGGTCAGACCAGCACACTGGTCACAGTTGCGACCACGAAGCCACCGACCTGCCGCAAACTAGACGTTGACAAGGTTGAGTAGAGGGAACGGTACATCGAGAGGCTAATATGGTATATGCGGTAATGTTTCTATACTTCCACCACGTACTGTGTAGCAGCTGAGTGCATGCATGCTGCATCCACCGAGCCTTGGTCCTGCACACTGGTCCCACCACACGTAGACGATAAAGTCGAAGAAGGCATCACACCTGTGCATGCATGCATGTGCATGCATGCATGCATGGTTTAGGGTTAAGGGTTTAGGGTTTAGGGTTTAGGGCAAAGGCTTGGGAGGCTACTACAGTATTTTCGAAGGTAGCTGATGCTCAGGACACACAGAAGATCTGCGCACTCATGCCCAGCATACCGATGACTCATTAATACTCGTTAAGGACGGATGATGGAGCTGCATGCGCCAAAACCAGAATTTGCTGCCCGCCTGCACCTGGAAATGTCTCTTGCCGATCCTGTAGTCGACGTCCAAGACCTGGCCACAATTATGACCACACCAAACTGTAGCTCAAGCTAGCCTCTATAGATTGTTCGAAAAGGAGCAGTCTTTTCTCTTCAGTCGGACCCCAATTGCATGATCTCGGCCCGAACATGTGTACGACTGCAGCGGCGCACACTCTAACTGCACATGCTAGCAGAACTTCACTTTGACTTTGGCCGGCTCTTGATCTCAGGCTGCTCGGATGAGGTGGATGAGCTGGCATCTGATATCGCTGTGAACTTAGATGTCACATTCCAGGAAAAATCGATATCGAAACCCTAGAAACCCTAAGACCCTAAACTCTATAAAGCCTTCATATGTATATATAAAGCCTATGCCCCTATTATATAACCCCTACACCTTCTAAAACCTGCAAGTAATATAGATCGGCATGAACCCCAATCAGTGAGCTCATGTAAGATCTTCGAGATCAATATATTAAACCGGACAAACGAATCCCGAATAGCTTCGATCTATACAACCCGAGCTACCCTAGTCTCAACCCTAATTACAATGCTTATATATACTAGCTGATATAGTTATAGAACACAAGATTTATATAGGAGCCACCAGGCTTTGCTTTCAACCAAAAGGCCCCACACCCTACACTATAGAGCCTAAGCCCGACACCCTGGACTCCTCATAACCCCGCACAATAACATTGTACGTGTAGTCTAACATTGGGTTTATAAGAATTTATGCAGCCATCGCCGACCTTGCAAGAATTTGTCGCCGAGACTCATCAAGCTTGTCTTTGCCTGGGCCAGAAAAAGGCTGAGTGAGAGGAAGATTTGGGTTTGGGTACAACACGAGTTTAGCAAAGCGACTCTGGGATTTTGCCCACAGGTGGTGGAGCTGCTTGGCAATCCCACCGGAGTTGTAGTTCTGGCATATAGAGCCCACCATTTCCGAAGTCAACTCCTGTTTCCAGGCTGTGTATGCGCGATTACATTAAGCATCATTTTGCACAAGATGTTACAATTGCTGTCGCGAATGCACAAACAACACACCGGGAATAGCTGATACAGCCAGCCTTCTCATCATGGTGATCACTGTAGATGGTTGACTTACAATCCAACCAAAATTGGTCCGGCATCTCGCTGAGGCCTCCACACACCAAAACAAACGAAAACCTACTGGCACTATACACGCGCACCATGAAGCACAGAATCGAAAAAACAAGCTATACACCCACCCGGCCTGAGCGTTCTACCTTCGCTCGCATTTTTCCGTCATCCTTGAGTGTTTTCGTCAGCAACATGGCCGCCAAATGCACTTCCGAGTATCGCGGCTGCGGACAAATGATTGTTCAAGCCCCAGCAAAAAGTCATGTAGACATGCATCAGCTTGCGAGCAGCTATCTGGAAAGGAAATACACACAGGCACGGCATAATGGAGCCGGAAGCACCCCCGCTGGCTCGTCATGTCGATGGTCAAAGGCCATGCCGGTACACCGAGAGGTGCATAACGACATGAAGATAAACCCATGCATGAAATGCAAGTGCATGGAGCTATGCTGTGGCTAGAACAATTGAAGCACTGGGGCTTGGCAGGCCAAAGATCAAATCAGCCTTCGGTTTGACCTGCAGAGGCTTCCAAGTATCGAATCAGCCCTCGTGTATCGGACAATACACACTTTCAGCCTTAGAGGCTGAAAAACAGCCGAAGGCGGATTTGCAGGAGAAGCAAGCACACGAACAGCCAAGGCTAATATTTCAGGCCAAAAAGGTTTAGCAGGTAGTGGTAGTAGTGGTAGTAGT